GGTCCATTTTAATAAAAATGATAATTTAAAATGGATAAGGTCACTATTTAAATTTGTAGAATGATTCAAAGTATCTCGAAAGCGACATCGATGTAGATATGTGAAACGTTAATCAATCACCAAGACCACAATTCTTGAAATATATACAAGACATTTTGGTGAGACCTTCAAAAAGGTCCATTTTAATAAAAATGATAATTTCAAATGGATAAGGTCACTATTTAAATTTGTAGAATGATTCAAAGTATCTCGAAAGCGACATCGATGTAGATATGTGAAACGTTAATCAATCACCAAGACCACAATTCTTGAAATATATACAAGACATTTTGGTGAGACCTTCAGAAAGGTCCATTTTAATAAAAATGATAATTTAAAATGGATAAGGTCACTATTTAAATTTGTAGAATGATTCAAAGTATCTCGAAAGCGACATCGATGTAGATATGTGAAACGTTAATCAATCACCAAGACCACAATTCTTGAAATATATACAAGACATTTTGGTGAGACCTTCAAAAAGGTCCATTTTAATAAAAATGATAATTTCAAATGGATAAGGTCACTATTTAAATTTGTAGAATGATTCAAAGTATCTCGAAAGCGACATCGATGTAGATATGTGAAACGTTAATCAATCACCAAGACCACAATTCTTGAAATATATACAAGACATTTTGGTGAGACCTTCAGAAAGGTCCATTTTAATAAAAATGATAATTTCAAATGGATAAGGTCACTATTTAAATTTGTAGAATGATTCAAAGTATCTCGAAAGCGACATCGATGTAGATATGTGAAACGTTAATCAATCACCAAGACCACAATTCTTGAAATATATACAAGACATTTTGGTGAGACCTTCAGAAAGGTCCATTTTAATAAAAATAATAATTTCAAATGGATAAGGTCACTATTTAAATTTGTAGAATGATTCAAAGTATCTCGAAAGCGACATCGATGTAGATATGTGAAACGTTAATCAATCACCAAGACCACAATTCTTGAAATATATACAAGACATTTTGGTGAGACCTTCAGAAAGGTCCATTTTAATAAAAATGATAATTTCAAATGGATAGGGTCACTATTTAAATTTGTAGAATGATTCAAAGTATCTCGAAAGCGACATCGATGTAGATATGTGAAACGTTAATCAATCACCAAGACCACAATTCTTGAAATATATACAAGACATTTTGGTGAGACCTTCAAAAAGGTCCATTTTAATAAAAATGATAATTTCAAATGGATAAGGTCACTATTTAAATTTGTAGAATGATTCAAAGTATCTCGAAAGCGACATCGATGTAGATATGTGAAACGTTAATCAATCACCAAGACCACAATTCTTGAAATATATACAAGACATTTTGGTGAGACCTTCAGAAAGGTCCATTTTAATAAAAATGATAATTTAAAATGGATAAGGTCACTATTTAAATTTGTAGAATGATTCAAAGTATCTCGAAAGCGACATCGATGTAGATATGTGAAACGTTAATCAATCACCAAGACCACAATTCTTGAAATATATACAAGACATTTTGGTGAGACCTTCAAAAAGGTCCATTTTAATAAAAATGATAATTTCAAATGGATAAGGTCACTATTTAAATTTGTAGAATGATTCAAAGTATCTCGAAAGCGACATCGATGTAGATATGTGAAACGTTAATCAATCACCAAGACCACAATTCTTGAAATATCAATAAGATATTTTGGTGAGACCTTCAGAAAGGTCCATTCTAATAAAAACGATAATTTGAAATAGATAGGGTCACTATTTAAGTTTGTAGAATGATTCAAAGTATCCTGAAGGCGACGTCGAGCTAAATTTTAGGTTAGAAGCACCAAAATCTGCAGGTTTAAACCCAAATTTTTCAGTTATTTGTGCTTAACCGGCAATTTCTTTTTTTTTATTTCATATATACATTTATTATTATTTTATCGGAACTAAAATTTGAATTATAAAAAATGAAATTACCAGACTTGCAATCGTCCCGAATAATCCCCGGTAGCTAAATGTCGATTTCGTAAACTAGAAGCTTCAAATGTACAACATTTAAAATGATCTCTCTTGGCAAACTCGCTCACTTTTTCAAGATTGTCACTGGTTAAAGAATAAATTTCAACAATACCAGCGCCATTAGATTTTCCACCAATTGAAACAAATTTTGCCGAACAGGGTATCCATTTAACATCCTGTATCGAATAATCCAATGCTTTTTCATTGTGGCAAATTATTTGTGGCCTCTCTAAAACTTCCATCACAAAATTATACTAAAATGTCTTATATTTTGATGTTAACGATCAAACTAATTAAATCACTATAGAAACCATTATAGCAAATTACAGAGTGATGCGACATTGAAATAAAAATCGTTTACAGACAAAATTTATTTCAAAAAGTTTATAATAATGTTTTATCACGGTAAATGAATTTGTAAGGGTTAACTTATCTTTAAATACATTTTATACCAAAATCCATAAGACACGCGTTGCCAAGCAAATTGCTTAGCAACACGTGCAAAATAAAATATTTTGCATTCCAGTAAATATCCTTCTATTTGTATTAAAAATTGTACCCTTTAATATAACCTAATAATAAAAGAATTAGGAGCATTAATACGTTTTTTATTCATTATAGTCACTTAAGATTTTTGTTTATCGTCTTCTAGTTCATAACCTTTAAGTTTGACAATCTAAGACTTTATTTGACGGCATCAAGTGACAGAAAATTAAATGTTCCAACACTGCCCAAAATCTAATCAGTTCACCGCAGGTCGGAATAAAGCTTAAGGCCAATATCAATGACAAGTGACGGCTGTTGTATCAGTCATCTCTAAAATATGCCTAGTTACCAGGATGAGGTTGGCGAAACTGGACATTGACAGTTAATCTATGATGGACGAAATAAAACGTTAAAAGGTAGCTTCCGCAGTTTTATTTATTGTTAATTATCCACTAACAATACAACGGCGACTTTTTTATCACAAAAAAATACAGTTCTGAACGATAATATTTTTAAAAATGGGTTCAAAATACTGTAAATTTTCCAATGATCTTTTATGAATATTGTAAATAAGGTTCCAGTTAAGCGATGCATATTCTAGCTTGGAACGAACTAAAGAAAAGTAAAGGATCTCCAAGCTTTGAAAGTTTGTAAAAGAACGAGTATTAAGAACCCTAAGCTTTTCAACGCAGAAGCAACGGTATTTTCAATATAATCCGAAAGAGTAATTTTTTGGTTGAATAATATACCTAAATCTTTATTTTGTGCACAAGTCGGTAAAGGTAGGCCGTTAAATAATACTTCTAGTATAGGAACATACTCTACATTTAGACACATTCATAAACAGCTTGTTTTGATTACACCAATTTTCAACGATGCCCAGTTGGGTCTGTAAAAAGTGACAGTCTTGAATTGATGAGATTGAGGTTAATATTTTTAAGTTAGCAGCTTGTTAAGTTTATTGCAGTCATTTATAAATATACTAAATAATAGTGGCCCCAGATTGGAGCTCTGTGGAACTCCAGATGTTGCTGTGAGGGGTGAAGATGAAAATAATTTCAACAGCGACTGATCAAACCCTAAGCTTTCCAACTTCCTTACAAGAATATTATGATTTATAGTTATTACAAAATACATTATTGGCAGGTTGTACAAAAAATATTCTAAACTCATTTTAACTAATAAGAGTTTTATTCTGCTATTCGTTAAAATGGGAGAAATCCGTAGATTTACACATTGTGTAAATAAGAAATCGAATATTCTATTTTCTACATCCTCCTATGACAGTACGTCACTGGAAACCGGAAACACTTGTCGCCATATATTATAATATTTTAAAGTAACAAATGTACCTACCAGAACTATTATTGAATACATTTAATAATATTTAGTTGAGAGAAAAATAGTTCTGCTGCTGCAAAAGAATGGGGTAATGATAATAAATCACAAATTATAATACCCCTACTATTAGGCTACCACCATTACATCGCTTACGTCGTGTATTCCATGTTGCCTATCAGTTCCTAGAGATAAAAAGATATTTATTTTCTAGCATAAGGTAGATACAAATACCACTTTCAAAATCTGTTAGAGAACGACATACAAGGTCAGAGTGAATTTTCGGATTATTTAATAGGAATCAAATATCATATTTTTTTTTTCGTTAAAGTCCTTGTATTTACCTAATCTATGTGTGTAAAGGGCAAGTCGACCATAGACATTCTATGGTAATGTGAAGTTTTATTCATTCTTTTTGTTTCTACTAATATGGTTATTTCCCAATTTACTACCATATAAATAAAATTTAACAAAAATATTAAGAAAATACCTACACCCGCGACATCTGCTATTTACAACAAATACTTAACATTAAATATTACAGATCACTGTACTAAACCCAAATATGAAATTATGGTTTTGTCGTCTTAATAGTAGATGGCGCTATACGTAAGATATCGAAAGAAAAATGTAGCATGGAAATATCCTTACATGTATAAGTTTTTTTGTAAAATTTACAAGTTTCTGTGGATTTGAACCAATAAAATTAAAAAAAGGGTATTTTCAAGCAAAAACTACTTAAAAAATGTTTATAAGCAGTAAAAACCTTGGTGACATCGATAGAAACGGTTGGTTAGCTGTTAGGTCGCGAAAAAATGCTTAGCCAAAAATATTTTAAATAAATATAAAATAAATAACATATAACTTCAATTTTAGTTGCCTTTAGTGTTTTATCGTTTCGAAAGTGTAGAGATTTTCTTGTAGAAGCTATTTTTAATGAAATCTAATGTTATTAAATTACGTCAAAAACAAAAAGTGACACCGGCAACTTTCCTTAGGTTATTTCGATTTACCAATGTGTCCGACCGTCAATTATTCGAAATTAAATACAACATTTTTACTGTTAAAACTGTTTTTTTTTGTAACGAAAATAATATAAAAAATATATTTCGAATATTAACATAGTTTTTATGTATATATTTACATTTTAAAATAAAAAATAATGATAATTTAGTTGTGCGCTTGACTAGCGCATGCCTTCCATCTATTTTCAGTCCTAGGTACCTACGGCATCGCAAATCATTGAGACTAAAAAAATATTACCGAATTTTTTAACGGAATTTAGTGGATGTGAGATGATACAAGTAATTGATTAGGACATTTGCGGTGAGAAAAATGTGCAAACAGAAACTGAGTGTTTAAAAATCGTCGATTTAGAGTGATTTTGTGTAGCAATAACCAGCTGATGGCGGGTGAAAATACGGGAATGGCTTGGCAGTTAAGTGTTCGTACATCCAAAAGTGTTTCGAAGTGATTTTTATCGCGAGACTTACAAATTTTGACTAATAGTAGTGCGATTGATTTAAGATCGACGTGAAATTTCCATAAAATCGAACCAGTTGATAATTGGGCGTGCACACACCTTGTGGCTTGTCATTGATATTTAGCAATCATTCATAAATTCTGGACTATAAATACACTCAAATGATGCGTTTGAAATTCGGTGCGATTTGACAAAAAAATTTGAAGTAGTGAAATGCAGAGTGTTCTTATACATACCCTTTTGTAAATAGTGTTTGCTTGTTATTTTTGTTGTTACTGAAGGTTTACGAATTCCGCGATGTCGACGACGACTACGTTCGTCGATAGGATTGATCCTTTTGCCAAAAGATCGCTCAAAAAGAAGACCAAAAAATCGCAGGGGAGTTCCAGATATCGAAACTCTCAAGATGTCGAACTTCAACCCTTGCCTCTTCTCAAAGGTGAGTGATGATGAAACTATACATATACTTGACCTAGGTCAATTTTCTTTGACTTTGTACTTTGATGTAATAACGATAATACTGTTAAGAGGGTGTTTTGTTATGTAATTATCTTTCGCTATGCTTTTTTTACAATTTTCATAAAATATCACAGTATACAGATGTAAATCTCGAAGTTTAGCTGGTAAGAACCATTTTTGTTGATAAACAATACTTAAATTACACTTACATTGTTAATTTAAATTCAAGACATTCTTATATCTCTAAATATTAGTATAATAATCAAAAATTACTAAATAATGTGTACCAAACGTTCTTCATCAAAAAGTATCATTCTATTTTCAAACTAATCTGTTAATCTCTGTATGTTGATGCTGTACCTACTGTAAAATTCAATATGAAGGATATTCTTACTCTGAAATGTCCAATATATAACTAGAAAAGAGAAACATTCATTCAGTGTATAAATAAAAGAAATCTAAACATATTTAGTGTATTAATAAAATGTTTTGATATCAGAATCAGTAGACAGCAGCATTCGACAAGGTTAGCTATGAAAAATTGTTAGATATAGGGTCAGAAGTGTCAGAAGAGTAAATAATACACAAGTCACTTCTTACAGGTGCTTATTGGATGTATGACATTGTTTTAGAAGACCGTGGCATGTTATTAGCAAAAATAGTGTATGTAACTGTCTTATTTTATAAACTTAAACAGTTTATTTATATTAGGAATCAAAATAATGTTCTCTTTTTTTGGATCATTAAATCATATCATCATTTTAATAAATCTCCCCTTTTTGATGTGTATTTGGAACTAACAAAGGCTGGTGTATCAGCCCCATTTGATATTTGATACATCTTGTCTTATTTGGATGATAGAAGCAAATCAACTATATCTGGGTAAATTGATCGCAGTAACATAGCCCAAAAAAAGAAAAGAAGAAGAAGAAGTTCTCTTTTTCTTAAAGCTTTGAATCTATAGTTTTGGTTGAACCTATGGACTTGTTATTACCTTTTATGCACACTTAATATCGATAATTTGTTTGAAAAACTCAAAACTAATGAATAATATTTTAATTTCTCATGATTTTTTGGCATACAACCAATATAAGGTAGATTTTGTGAACTGTCATTTCTGTTTTATTATTTAAGCTTTGTTTTAGGTATGAGGTATTATTGTTTTGTTTTATCAGTATAGTTTTTATGATTTAAACTGTCTAAATTGGAGAATGCACTATTTATTTCTTCCTGTTCATTCAAAAGTGCTTAAAAGCGGTAGATTTTTTGAATGGGGGCAATTTTTATTTGAATAATTTTATCAAAAATTTGAATTTTTTACATTTTGTTAAATTTCTCGAATACGGTCCATTTTAGGAAAATTTTGTATAGGGTAAAAATTATAGATAATAATATAAGAAATAACTTTTATTTGAACAATTTTTTTCTCAAAATGTAAATAACAGTTCTATTCCATAAAATATTAAAACTACCCCCCATTAAGTACCCTCCCAGATGTTCCTATTCTGCTCAAAATCTAATCAGTTCATCTTAGGCCGGAATAAAGCTAAAGTTTAAATTTTAGTGTTTCTCTCTTTATCCGTTTTTGAGTTTTTTTGCAAAATTCGAAATTTACACTTTTTTTCAAATATCTCGAATACGGTCCATTTTAGAAAAATTTTGTATAGAACAAAAATTATAGAGAATAATATAAGAAATAACTTTTATTTGAACAATTTTCTTCTCACAATGTAAATAACAATTATTTTCCATAAAATATAGAAACAACCCCCTATTAAGTACCCTCCCAGATGTTCCTACTCTGCTCAAAATCTAATCAGTTTATCTTAGGCCGGAATAAAGCTAAAGTTTAAATTTTAGTGTTTTTCTCTTTATCCGTTTTTGAGTTTTTTTCAAAATTCGAAATTTACACTTTTTTCAAATATCTCGAATACGGTCCATTTTAGAAAAATTTTGTATAGGACAAACATTATAGAGAATAATATAAGAAGTAACTTTTATTTGAACAATTTTCTTCTCACAATGTAAATAACAATTATTTTCCATAAAATATAGAAACAACCCCCTATTAAGTACCCTCCCAGATGTTCCGACTGTGCCCAAAATCTAATCAGTTCGTCTTAGGCTGGAATAAAGCTTAAGTTTAAAATTTAGTGTTTTTCTCTTTATCCGTTTTTGAGTTTTTTTCAAAATTCTAAATTGACATTTTTTCAAATATCTCGAATACGGTCCATTTTAGGAAAATTTTGTATAGGATAAAAATTATAGATAATAATATAAGAAATAACTTTTATTTGAACAATTTTCTTCTCACAATGTAAATAACAATTATTTTCCATAAAATATAGAAACAACCCCCTATTAAGTACCCTCCCAGATGTTCCGACTGTGCCCAAAATCTAATCAGTTCGTCTTAGGCTGGAATAAAGCTTAAGTTTAAAATTTAGTGTTTTTCTCTTTATCCGTTTTTGAGTTTTTTTCAAAATTCGAAATTTACACATTTTTTCAAATATCTGGAATACGGTCCATTTTAGGAAAATTTTGTATAGGATAAAAATTATAGAGAATAATATAAGAAATAACTTTTATTTGAACAATTTTCTTCTCACAATGTAAATAACAATTATTTTTCATAAAATATAGAAACAACCCCCTATTAAGTACCCTCCCAGATGTTCCGACTGTCCCCAAAATCTAATCAGTTCGTTTTAGGCCGGAATAAAGCTTAAGTTTAAAATTTAGTGTTTTTCTCTTAATCCGTTTTTGAGTTTTTTTCAAAATTCGAAATTTACACATTTTTTCAAATATCTGGAATACGGTCCATTTTAGGAAAATTTTGTATAGGATAAAAATTATAAAGAATAATATAAAGAGTAACTTTTATTTGAACAATTTTTTTCTCAAAATGTAAATAACAGTTATATTCCATAAAATATAAAAACTACCCCCTATAAAATACCCCCAAGATGTTCCGACTCTGCCCAAAATCTAATCAGTTCATCTTAGGCCAAAATAAAACTAACATTTAAAATTTAGTGTTTTTCTCTTTATCGGTTTTTGAGTTTTTTTTAATATTCGAAATTTACACATTTTCTCAAATATCTCGAATACGGTCCATTTTAGAAAAATTTTGTATAGGACAAAAATTATAGAGAATAATATAAGAAATAACTTTTATTTGAACAATTTTCTTCTCACAATGTAAATAACAATTATTTTTCATAAAATATAGAAACAACCCCCTATTAAGTACCCTCCCAGATGTTCCTACTCTGCTCAAAATCTAATCAGTTCATCTTAGGCCGGAATAAAGCTAAAGTTTAAATTTTAGTGTTTTTCTCTTTATCCGTTTTTGAGTTTTTTTCAAAATTCGAAATTTACACATTTTCTTAAATATCTCGAATACGGTCCATTTTAGAAAAAAATTATATAGGACAAAAATTATAGAGAATAATATAAGAAATAACTTTTATTTGAACAATTTTCTTCTCACAATGTAAATAACAATTATTTTTCATAAAATATAGAAACAACCCCCTATTAAGTACCCTCCCAGATGTTCCTACTCTGCTCAAAATCTAATCAGTTCATCTTAGGCCGGAATAAAGCTAAAGTTTAAATTTTAGTGTTTTTCTCTTTATCCGTTTTTGAGTTTTTTCAAAATTCGAAATTTACACATTTTCTTAAATATCTCGAATACGGTCCATTTTAGAAAAAAATTATATAGGACAAAAATTATAGAGAATAATATAAGAAATAACTTTTATTTGAACAATTTTCTTCTCACAATGTAAATAACAATTATTTTTCATAAAATATAGAAACAACCCCCTATTAAGTACCCTCCCAGATGTTCCTACTCTGCTCAAAATCTAATCAGTTCATCTTAGGCCGGAATAAAGCTAAAGTTTAAATTTTAGTGTTTTTCTCTTTATCCGTTTTTGAGTTTTTTTCAAAATTCGAAATTTACACATTTTCTTAAATATCTCGAATACGGTCCATTTTAGAAAAAAATTATATAGGACAAAAATTATAGAGAATAATATAAGAAGTAACTTTTATTTGAACAATTTTCTTCTCACAATGTAAATAACAATTATTTTTCATAAAATATAGAAACAACCCCCTATTAAGTACCCTCCCAGATGTTCCGACTCTGCCCAAAATCTAATCAGTTCATCTTAGGATAAAATAAAACTAACACTTAAAATTTAGTGTTTTTCTCTTTATCGGTTTTTGAGTTTTTTTTTTAAATTCGAAATTTACACATTTTCTCAAATATCTCGAATACGGTCCATTTTAGAAAAATTTTGTATAGGACAAACATTATAGAGAATAATATAAGAAGTAACTTTTATTTGAACAATTTTCTTCTCACAATGTAAATAACAGATATATTACATAAAATATAACTACATAAAGCTTAAGTTTAAAATTTTGTGTTTTTCTGCTCTCTGCTTATTCCTCATTTGTTAAGTAATATACAAATGAGCTGCTCATATTGAAAAACTATTCATTATTTCAAAAACATTTATAAACAGATCCAGATCTTATAGCCAAAGAAATAAATAAGATTTATTTTGAAATGATTATGTAATTATATAATGCTTGGCATTCTGTATGGTACTTTTCACAGTTAAACAAACCCCCTAACTTAACCCCATCAAATTTTTGATCTGATTTTTTTCCAGAATCCCCCCTATAAAAGCTTTGTTTTTCCAGTGTGAAGAGTATAATAAATCTATCTACCTAATTATTGTACCATTAATCATTTTATATTTGCATTAAATTATATAATTATCTTCCAGTTAAGTTAAAAACAGATCAATCTTTTTTAAAAGGAATGGCACATTTAAACTAAAGTCTTAACTGCATTATATATTCAAGAACTTCTTATAATATGACAGCATCTTACTTGAGAAGAAACATAGAGCTAGTTCCACTACAGAAATACACTGAGAAAATGTAACTATTCACAATACATCACAGAGCTAGGGGTACTGTGAATAGTTTCGTTTTTTCAGTGTATCTCTGTAGTGGAACTAGCTCTATGTTTCTTTACTGTATTGTTCTCTCTTCTGTAGTTCTGTGGAACAAGCATTTTTTGTAAATTCAACAGAACTATTGATCAAAAGTATGCAATATTAGAGACTAACTTCAACTTCACATTATGACTTGCTTAATTGTTAATTTTGTCAAATACATCAGTGACATTGTTTTGGGGTTTTTGTAGTAATTTTTCCAGTTGGAAATATTAATTTGCTCACATGTTATATGGGTATTGTTAAAGATTCTACAAAGCAATATTTAAATGAATTAGAAATAAAATTACACCAATTTTAACCAAAAAATTTGTGCCCAACTTCTTGAGAAAGGACTAACATTTAAAAAGCACCATAAATCTGTAACTATATACAGTGTGTCTGAAAAAGTTGGCAACAAATGGGAAACTTATTTATTATTAAGTTTAGAAAAAAACGTCATTCTTCATAAAAGTTCTGCAAGGCCTAAAACCCAATATACGATAATCAGATATCGAAATTTTCCAATCGTATACGAGGTTTGTCAAAAAGTATGAATTTTGCTCAAGAGTAAAGTACGTTTATTTTTGACAAAATCGAAAATTTTCATTAAGAAAAGTTGATTAGAATTGAATATTACATTCATTTTTTTAGATATTGTCGAAAATAAAGGTACTTTACTCTTGAGCAAAATTCATACTTTTTGACAAACCTCGTATACGATTGGAAAATTTTGATATCTGATTATCGTATATTAGGTTTTAGGCCTTACAGAACTTTTTATGAAGAATGACGTTTTTTCCTAAACTTAATAATAAAAAAGTTTCCCATTTGTTGCCAACTTTTTCAGACACACTGTATAAAAAAATTTCCATTCATCTGGGAAACTGTTTGTTTTTAAAGCTATTATGCAATGTTTACAAAGTACCTATAGTGTTTACTTCCATTTTGTATCTATAAAGAATACCTATTTAATCCCTCAAATTTTTTTCAAAATTTATAGCCTTGATCCTTTTATAGAGCTTTCAATTTGATGATATCGTTTTTTGCTTCTGTAATAGTAAATAATATAATAATATATTCCTCCAAAATTTATTTATATTATTTTTTGTTCCATCTAAATATTTTTCTGATATTCTGAATAAACCATTTTAATTTTAGATGTACCAGCATCAGAACAAGAAGAACTATTCATTCGGAAACTTAGACAATGCTGTGTTGCATTTGATTTCATGGATCCCGTTGCCGATTTGAAAGGAAAAGAAGTCAAAAGATGCACTCTAAACGAACTCGTGGATTACATAACTGGAGGGAGAGGCGTCCTTACTGAACCCGTTTATCCAGAGATTATTAAAATGGTAAGTTAAAAATGTTTATGCAATCTTTTGTTATATACTCATTTAATAACTTTCTTATTATTTACTTAGTTAAATCAATAGAAAAGGTCGCTAAATTTGTTGGAAATTATGTAGACATAGTTCTCACTTTGCTTTAATAATTATCATAGCATTATTTATTCAGTTGGTCACCAATATAATGATTCCCTTACCTATATGTTTTGCTTAAACCATTGAATAGTTCCTAAAATTAATTTTCTATTATAAAGTTTTTATATGTAAGTATAGATGATAAAAAAATGATATCAAACACAGATTGAGTTTGGCTTTTTATCTTATTTATTTTAAGATATTATTGATATATTTTTATGGGATATTATTGATTTTGAAGCAGAAATATTCGAGATAACTATAATTTATGTTTAATCTACAGGTATTTATGTGTTAATTTATTTATTTTTTCTAATAAAATCAAGCGCGCGACTAAAAATGTATTATTTTTATCAATTTGGACCACCAGTAACTTTGCAACCGATCTAAATCTAAATTATTTCAAGACAAGATTTTAAAAATGTAAATAAAGATTTTATAAGTAAATCTGGTCGGACGGTGGACTGCACGGTGGGCGGAGAAACGGCAGTGACGTCATCGTGCAGTCTTCCGTCGGACTAAAATTAACAACTCCTCCACCATGCAGTCTACCGTCCGACCAAATTTCTATAAGGGTTGTGGGTTGTATTTAAATTGTTCTGTAATTGGGATTTCTCCTGTTATCTTTTTTGCAAATAATACTTTTCCTTAGATATCCGCAAACTTATTTAGAACTTTGCCGCCGAGCGAAAATCCGGATTTCGATCCGGAAGAGGACGATCCCACTTTGGAGGCGAGCTGGCCTCACCTCCAACTGGTTTACGAATTTTTCCTGAGATTTTTGGAAAGCTCGGACTTTCAACCGACAATAGGGAAACGCGTTATCGATCAGAAATTCGTATTGCAACTGTTAGAATTGTTCGATTCCGAGGATCCTAGGGAGCGCGATTTCTTGAAGACAGTATTGCATCGTATCTATGGAAAATTTCTCGGTCTCCGGGCCTTCATTCGAAAACAAATTAATAATATATTTTTGAGGTGAGTCTAAAGGGATTCTTGACAAACACCGGATAATATTTCATCAATTTTTTAGGTTTGTGTATGAGACTGAACACTTCAACGGCGTCGGTGAGCTTTTAGAAATCTTAGGTTCCATAATCAATGGGTTCGCGTTACCACTTAAGGCTGAACATAAGCAGTTCCTGGTGAAGGTGCTGATACCTTTGCATAAGGTTAAGTGCTTGTCTCTGTATCACGCGCAGCTCGCTTACTGTGTAGTACAGTTCTTAGAGAAGGATCCGACTTTGACGGAACCGGTAGTGAGAGGTCTTCTCAAATATTGGCCCAAGACGTGCAGTCAGAAGGAGGTGATGTTTTTGGGCGAGATCGAAGAGGTTCTGGATGTTATTGAGCCGTCGCAGTTTTTGCGCATCCAAGAACCGTTATTTAGGCAAATTTCCAAGTGTGTTTCCAGTCCACACTTCCAGGTAAAATTGCCTTTTATTTATTGATTTTTTATTTGTTATTTGCTGTCAGAAATGCAGTATAGAATTTTTTAAAGGTAGGAAGTTGAAAATTTGAATGAACACAAATAATGTGTAAGTATTTCAGGGTTTTTTGAATTTTAACATTGTAAGGGGAGGAGGGAAATGGGAAGGGGTGAAAGTTTGTTAGGTAGGAAATTGAAATTGAAGCATAAATACATAATTATTTGTTTCAGGATTTTGGATTTTTACGTTTTTAGGAGGTTAAATAAAAATAAATACAAAAAAAAATAATTGAAAATAAATTAAAAAAGTAATTAAAAATAAATAAATAAAAAGTATTTCAGGATTTTAGATTTTCATATTTTAAGGGGAGAAACAATGGTGAAATAAAAAAAAATAAAAATAAATAAAAATAAATAAAAATAAATGAAAATAAATACAAAAAAAAATAAATAAAAATTTCAGGGTTTTGGATTTTTATATTTTAAGAAGGGGGGATGGTAAAATAAAAAAAAGAATACAAATTAATAAAAATAATTAAAAATAAATTAAACTAAATACAAAAAATAAAAATAAAAAACAAATAAAAATAAATTTAAATTAAAATATTTAAAAATAAATGAAAATAAATACAAAAATTAAAAAACTAAAAAATTTAAAAATAAATTTAAAAATTTAAAAATTTAAAAATTTAAAAATTTAAAAATTTAAAAATTTAAAAATTTAAAAATTTAAAAATTTAAAAATTTAAAAATTTAAAAATTTAAAAATTTAAAAATTTAAAAATTTAAAAATTTAAAAATTTAAAAATTTAAAAATTTAAAAATTTAAAAATTTAAAAATTTAAAAATTTAAAAATTTAAAAATTTAAAAATTTAAAAATTTAAAAATTTAAAAATTTAAAAATTTAAAAATTTAAAAATTTAAAAATTTAAAAATTTAAAAATTTAAAAATTTAAAAATTTAAAAATTTAAAAATTTAAAAATTTAAATATTTAAAAATTTAAAAATTTAAAAATTTAAAAATTTAAAAATTTAAAAATTTAAAAATTTAAAAATTTAAAAATTTAAAAATTTAAAAATTTAAAAATTTAAAAATTTAAAAATTTAAAAATTTAAAAATTTAAAAATTTAAAAATTTAAAAATTTAAAAATTTAAAAATTTAAAAATTTAAAAATTTAAAAATTTAAAAATTTAAAAAAATTTAAAAATTAATTAAATAAATGTCTAAATGATGATTGTATTTTAGGTGGCAGAGCGGGCTTTGTACTTCTGGAACAACGAGTATATTATGTCGCTGATGGAAGAAAACAATCACGTTATCATGCCAATTATGTTCCCGGCATTGTACCGCATCTCCAAAGAGCACTGGAATCAGACTATAGTGGCCCTTGTATACAATGTCCTCAAAACGTTCATGGAAATGAATTCCAAGCTGTTTGATGAACTTACAGTCAGTTACAAAGCTGAAAGACAAAAGTAAGTGTACCTAATTAATTAAAATAATAATAAAAAAAAATTAAGCACTTTTTGTTTATTTATTTATTTTTTTTTTTTTTTTTTTTCATTTTTATTTTTTTCATTTTTTCTTTTTGTCTTTTTGTGTATTGACATTATAAAATTGTTCTCACGTTTTTGAAATGAAACATCTTACAGGCATGAAATATGTAAGGATAAAAACGATGTATGTCGGTATCGTTCGTGCATCGTCGTTTGTCGTTTAAAATAAATCAAAATAACAAAAATAAGTATATTAAAATATATCAAAATATATCAAAATATATCAAAATATATCAAAATATATCAAAATATATCAAAATATATCAAAATATATCAAAATATATCAAAATATATTAAAATTAGTTAAATTAATTAAAGTTAATCAAAATTAATCAATATTAATCAAAATTAATCAAAGGTAATCAAAATATATTCAATTGTATCTAAATAAATGAAAATATATTAAAATATATCAAAATATATCAAAATATATCAAAATATATAAAAATAAATTAAAATAAATCAAAATAAGTTAAAATAAATCAAAATGAATCAAAACGAATCAAAATATATTAAAATATATCAAAATAAATCAAAATATATTAAAATGAATCAAAATATATCAAAATAAATAAAATATATCAAAATAAATCAAAATATATAAAAATAAATCAAAATATATTAAAATATATCAAAATAAATCAAAATAAATCAAAAGAAATCAAAATAAATCAAAATAAATCAAAATAAATCAAAATAAATTAAAATAAATTAAAATAAATTAAAATAAATTAAAATAAATTAAAATAAATTAAAATAAATTAAAATAAATCAAAATAAATTAAAATAAATTAAAATAAATCAAAATAAATAAAAATATACAAATACAAGTAATATAAAAATAAAAAAAAATTAAAATAAATAAATCAAAATAAATAAAAATATATCAAAATAAATCAAAATATATCAAAATATATCAAAATATATCAAAGAAATCAAAATAAATCAAAATAAATTAAAATAAATTAAAATAAATTAAAATAAATTAAAATAAATCAAAATAAATAAAAATATACAAATATAAGTAATATAAAAATAAAAAAAATTAAAATAAATAAATCAAAATAAATTTTAATAAATTAAATTCAAATAAACGTCTGCAAATATTTCACTTATATGAAATTTTGGATCTTTACTTGTATTATATTTAATAATTCATATTATTTCTAGAATGGTCCGTATTTTTCGAGATATAAATTATGGGTGATTCAATACGAACATATATTAAACTTAATTAAAACCAATTAAATTCAGTTAAAATTAATTAAAACAAAAATAATATAAAATTAATTATAATCATACAAAATTAATTTAAATCAATTAAAATCAATTAAAATAATATAAAATTAATTATAATCATATAAAATCAATTAAAAGCAATTAAAATCGAATAAAATGAATTAAAATAATATAAAATTAATTAAAATCCTATAAAATGAATAAAAATACTTAAAAATCATTTAAAATTAATTGAAATAATATAAAATTAATTATAAATCATATAAAATCCTATAAAATGAATTAGAATACATAAAAATCATTTAAAATTAATTGAAATAATATAAAATTAATTATAAATCATGTAAAATCAATTAAAATACATCAAAATCAATAGTCAATTAAAATTAAATTCATAAAATGAATTAAAGTCAATTATAATCATTTAAAATCGAATAAAATCAATTAAAATAATATAAAATTTATTATAAATCATATACAATCCTATAAAATGAATTAAAATACATAAAAATCATTTAAAATTAATTGAAATATAATAAAATTAATTATAAATCATATAAAATTAATTAAAATACATCAAAATCAATTAAATTAAAATAAATTAAAATAAATTAAAATAAATTAAAATAAATTAAAATAAATTAAAATAAATTAAAATAAATTAAAATAAATTAAAATAAATTAAAATAAATTAAAATAAATTAAAATAAATTAAAATAAATTAAAATAAATTAAAATAAATTAAAATAAATTAAAATAAATTAAAATAAATTAAAATAAATTAAAATAAATTAAAATAAATTAAAATAAATTAAAATCAATTAAAATCAATTAAAATCAATTAAAATCAATTAAAATCAATTATAATCAATTATAATCAATTATAATCAATTAAAATCAATTATAATCAATTATAATCAATTATAATCAATTATAATCAATTATAATCAATTAAAATAATCTAAAATTAATTAAAACCCTACAAAATGGATTAAAATACATATAAATCATTTAAAATCGATTAAAATACATCAAAATCAATAGTCAATTAAAATTAAAATCATAAAATGAATTAAAGTCAATTATAATCATTTAAAATCACCTAAAATCAATTTAAATCAAGTAAAATCAATTAAAATTGATTAAAAGCAATTAAAATATAAATTGAATTAACATACATCAAAATAAATTAAAAACAAAATAAATTTAAATCAATTAAAATTAAAATATCTTTTCACAAAGTTTAAACAATTAATATTAAATCTTTTCTTTCATTCCTTTTTAGAAATGGATGATTTAGGTTTTGGCTTCGCAACAAATTTCATCATTGACTAGTCGGAGAATTGTTATTTATTTATTAATTTTTTGTAGGGAAAAGAAACGGGAAAAGGAGCGAGACGAATTGTGGAAGAAACTAGCCGAACTCGAGATATCCCATAACAAGAGTACATCTGCACAACATAATAATAGCCCATCCAGCAAAAAGTGATAATATTAAAATAACAGCCTAATTACTACCCCCTGCCCTTTGTTAATTGTTTGCTGGTAAGTAAGACACATACACACACCGTGCCGGCGGCACACATCCTCCATCACACCATCTCTCCATCGGAGTCATGCTTCACAACACCAGAGAAAACGTAAATATATTTCATGTATGTCTTTTAAATATTTAACACCGTCGCTAGCGCACCCGACCGTGTTGTACCGAACAGTTTCATGTTGAATATGTTATGTAACTAAAACAACTAGTCTATTATTTCGTGAAATGTATATTTGAATTATTTTATAAGTTTTTTTTTTTTGTAAAATTTTATCACATTAAAAATAATAGATTCAGTGCGAAGCTTTTCAATTGCAGTTATCGCATATTTGTTAATTTTTATTTCAGAATGAACGATTTTTAAAGAAATTAAAATTGTCCGGTTTTTTAAAAAAATTGTCCGGACTTTTAAAAAAATTGTCCGGACTTTTAAAAAAATTGTCCGGTTTATTAAAATTGTCCGGTTTTTAAGGAAATTGTTTTTTTTTGATAAAATCGTACATTCTGATATGCAAACGGCTTTTAAAATTGAAAAATTTTTGGTGTGGTGACATATTTCGTTGTGCGTCGTGTCGGAGGAAAGAAGATTTTTAACTGTACGAAGCAATGGATAAAAAAAAATAGTACAGTGAATTGTACTACAGGATGTTTCGGGACTATCTTAATATGCTAAAAAGTAATACATTTAAAGAAATATTTGTACATAGCCAAGATGCATACCGTGGTTACAGATTGTGTTAACATAGTGGTTGGTTATATTATAATTTTTTTTGTGGTACAAAATTATTAAGTTTTGAAAAGGTTATTTATTTTTATGCGTAATTTTTTGTTTATTTTACTTAGCTGAAAGTTATAAAAGTGATCAACAACTGCATGGCAAGTAAATAGTGAACAAATTAATTATTTTTTTCAGTCTATATTTAAAATACTTTCCATTTTAATTATTATCCACTATTTAAATTGTTAAAAATTTAAAAAAAATGTTCAACTGATTTTTTTTTGAGGTTAAGTTTGTTACATTCGGTTTCCGAAATATTTGAGAGAGATATTTATGTTTTAAATTCTCTAAAACTCATAATCTATGCCAGAAATAATATCTTTAACACTTTTTGCGAAAATTCTATTAAAATAATATGTTAATTTATTATTTTTTCTAATAAAATCAAGCGCGCGGCTGAAAATGTATTATTTCTATCAATTTTGAACCACCAGTAACTTTGCAACTGATCTAAATCGGATTTAAAATCTGGTCGGACGGTGGACTGCACGGTGGGCGGAGAAACGGCAGTGACGTCATCGTGCAGTCTTCCGTCGGACTAAAATTGACTATGTAAAATCTGGTCGGACGGTAGACTGCACGGTGGGCGGAGATTAAAATTAATTAAAACCAACTAAAATCAATTCAAATCAAGTAAAATCGAAAAAAATCAATTAAAATAATATAAAATTAATTTAAATCATATAAAATTAATTATAATCATATAAAATCAATTATAGTCGATTAAAATTAATTAAAATCAAGTAAAATCAATTAAAATCGAATAAAATCAATTAAAATAATATAAAATTAATTAAAATCCTATAAAATGAATTAAAATACATAAAAAATCATTTAAAATTAATTAAAATAATATAAAATTAATTATAATCATATAAAATGAATTATAGTCAATTAAAATGAAATAAAATCAAGTAAAAACAATTAAAACAAATTAAAATTAATTTAAATCAATTAAAATTAATTAAAATTAATTAAAATTAATTAAAATTAATTAAAATTAATTAAAATTAATTAAAATTAATTAAAATCAATTAAAATTAATTAAAATTAATTAAAATTAATTACAATTAATTAAAATTAATTAAAATTAATTAAAATTAATTAAAATTAATTAAAATTAATTAAAATTAATTAAAATTAATTAAAATTAATTAAAATTAATTAAAATTAATTAAGATTAATTAAAATTAATTAAAATTAATTAAAATTAATTAAAATTAATTAAAATTAATTAAAATTAATTAAAATTAATTAAAATTAATTAAAATTAATTAAAATTAATTAAAATTAATTAAAATTAATTAAAATTAATTAAAATTAATTAAAATTAATTAAAATTAATTAAAATTAATTAAAATTAATTAAAATTAATTAAAATTAATTAAAATCAATTAAAACCAATTAAAATCATTTAAAACTAAATGAAATCAAATATTCTGAAACGAAATAATTAGTTACCGAAAAAAAAGTTAGTCTTGTAGAAAAATTGGTGGAAAATCATATTCCTGAAATGATTCGACAGAATAGTGAAATTCTATGACTTTTCGTTATAATTTTACTAGATAGTGAGTGCATCAACTTCCAGCCCTTTGGTTACTAAATTAATTACATTTACTTTTAATTCTTGAAGATTTAATATTTTAAATTCGTGGAAACTCAACATCTATAGCAGAAATAATATTTTTAATACTTTCCGCGGAAAATCTATTAAAATAGCTCGCTAATTCATATTTTTTTCCTTTAATAAAGAAATTTTCGGCAATATTTTCATCAATATTTTCAGATCGACTACCTGTGTCAAATAGAACATTAATATTTTTTTAATTTATTAATTTTTTTTTTTCGAAATTTTCCACATGAAATGAGGAAAATTTTGATGTCAAATCGTGAGAAACGTCTAGTGGCATAAAGGAATTTTTAGTTATTTCGGGAAAGTCGGAAAATTCGGTAAACAAATTTTTTTTTTCGATTTTCTAGAATTAAAAAAAAAATATGAAATTGATAAATCCGTTATTAAAAAAAAGGTCTTTTCGGAAAATTGGTGAAAAACGAACATCCCGGAGGAAAATTTAAAATTTTCCGACATAATCCGTAGTAGTGAAATTCGATTTTTGTAACACGCATTTAGGTTTTTTTTTATTCAGATAATTTTTCATGCAACAGTGCAGACCCGGATTTAGATTTTTTTATTATATATATTTTTTAAGTTAATTGAAAAAATATTAATTTCTTTAAATTTGAACTAAATACCTGCCATGTTGCTGAATCACTTTTCCTAAAAAAAAAAAGACTTAATTCCATCGATTTAAGATAAAAATTTATTTAATGCCAAAAAAATTAAAACGATAATATTTACTTTTCTATTCCCCAATCAGCAAAGTAAATAAACGTTAACAATAAAAAGTTGTAAATGATTCTTCTAGTTTAAAAAAAAAATGCATGAATTGAATTTTTTTTTGTATATTTAAGAAAAAGAAATTTACTTTAACATAGACTGAACATGATGTAAATAGTACCAAAAAAAGTAAAAGATGTCAAATAGGTGAATAATTATTATTATTAATTGTGGTGCAAAAAAATTTTACCAGTAATGAATTTTTTGAGCACAAGTAGTGACACGCAATTATTTGATCTTCTTTAAATAACTTGAAAAATTGTAATTTGTGATAAATTTCGTATGATTTCCAGAAAAAAGTCGTTTGGATTTATAAGAGACTTCTTATTATTTTTTTTTTCAATATTGGTATAAATGATTCAGTTTGGGAGTCGGAAAATATTTCTGTTATTGAAAATCGTGTTACCCCCAAGATACACTCGTAGGTTTCCTCTGATTTTACTCGATATCGATGTATTTTTCACTTAAATCTGAGATTATCCGTTGGTCTATATAATTGTCATCGAAAGGGAGTGGTTAAACCAATGATTGCCTCTTTAATTATCGTTCTCGATTCTCATTTTTATTCTTCTGGGTAAGCTGATTAATATTTCACCTTCTTCATGCTAATTTATTTCTTTTTCTAACAAATGTATTATTTCTATCAATTTTGAACCATCAGTAACTTTGCAAATTATCTAAATGGGATGTAAGATCTGGTCGGACGGTAGACTGCACGGTGGGCGGAGAAACGGCAGTGACGTCATCGTGCAGTCTTCCGTCCGACTAAATTTTACAACCCTTTGTTTTGCTGTTCTCTCCACCGTGTAGTCCACCGTCCGACCAGATTTTAGGGGTAGTCGCTGTTTGGTTTTTCACATTTTATTAGTATTCAATTCACTAACACTTGGTACTCTTCAGTGTTTTTTCATAGGGAAATACAACCTCTACAAAAGTTAAAAATTATAAAGCTAAGAATTTTAAAAGATCCCTATTGAATCCCTAAAAGTTATTTTTTGCAAAAATAATTTTTTTTAAATAAAATTAATCATTTTAAATATTTCCAATTTTTATATAAAATTCCCAATTTTCTCTAATTTAGAAAGGTTATAGGAAAAATTACTATATGACCTTTTTTCTTAAATAATTCACTTAACATTCCATTTTTTTTTTTTCAAAATTCCCACAAATTAATTTAAAAAAAAGGGGACAAGAGGGGGGATAAAACCTGGTGGGATCAAAAGTTCTATAACTTACCTTTATTAACTATATTTTATTTTTATAATTTTTTAAGGGGGGAAAATAAAATATATATTTTTCAAAATTTTTATTAAGAAAATTTTCCAATTTTTGAGAGGCGGGGGGCAACCTAATATACTTTATAATTTTCAGAATTCAATATCCTATAAATTGTGTGAATTTTATTACATTCAAAAATATCAAGTTTACTGTTGAAGGATTTTAAAAAAAAAAGGGGGGATGTAATGAAGCCTCTCAACACTCTTAGATTTTGGTCCCAAACGCTCTACCAAAAGGAATTTATCTAAAATTAATTTTTAGGTTACTCTTGTTTTCAAAAAAAGTGGAGGGGGGGAAGAAAATTTTGATACCAAAACGTTCGACTTTTGGTCCCATATAGTACCCACACAATATTATTTCTTCAATTTTATTCCTAAGCCACTCTTGAAGACTTTTAAAAAATGTACGGGGGGGATGTAATGAAGCTAAAAATAAATTCAATAAATTATTCTTATAAATTCAAAAACTTTTTCCTGGACTCGCATACTTAAAAGTATGTATACATAAAATTAATAACGGAAGTTATTTCTGACTTTTCTATTATTTAAAAAATTAGTTTTTATTGTGTACCGCGCGTACCGCGAACGACAAGACATTGCGACAATGGATCTATCGATGTAAATGATTTTCAAAAACGTTTCCGTGCACCTATTGTTAACCACAGTAACTATGTATGTGCTGCAGCACAATTGTTGTGTCTTGGAGAAAGATTGTATTGTAACACTTAAGAATGGGGCTGCATAATTTGGATTTATCCAAATAAAACTGATCAGTATCAAATATAAACGTTTAAAACGAAGAGGAATCGCAAAATAAGCTGTCTTCTTT